GGGGATGTGCCCGCAACCCAGGTACATGCCCTTGACCGGAATCGAACCTGGGACCCTTCAGTCCACAGGCTGACGCTCTATCCACTGAGCCAAACCGGTCAGGGCTCCCCCATTGATTTTTAAAGAGAGTGTAAGGGAGGGAAGAGAGAGAGAGAGAAACATCGATGTGAGAGAGACACATCCATTGGTTGCCTCCCACATGAGCCCCGACCTGCAACCGAGGTCCGTGCCCTTGACCAGAATCGAACCTGGGACCTTGAAATCTGCAGGCTGGCGCTCTATCCATTGAGCCACACCAGCCAGGGCTGTGTGTGTGTTTGTAAAGCAGGGCCCCCCGGTTTTCTGATGAGACTCTTCAGACTTTGGGGACCCCCTACAAGGGGCTCATCTCTAGCCCAGGGTTCTGAGTCTAGGCCTGGGGTTACCTGGAGAGCTTCCTAGTCTTGGCAGCCGACAGGATGAGGACTGGAGGCGGGGGAGGATAGAAACATCGATGTGAGAGAGACACATCCATTGGTTGCCTCCCACATGAGCCCCGAAGGTCCATGCCCTTGACCAGAATCGAACCTGGGACCTTGAAATCCTCAGGCTGGTGCTCTATCCACTGAGCCGCACCGGCCAGGGCTGTGTGTGTTTGTAAAGCAGGGCCTCCTTGTTTTCTGATGAGACTCTTCGCTTGCTCCTCTCTCTGCGCTTGACCCTGGGGCCCCCTACAAGGGGCTCATCTCTAGCCCAGGGTTCTGAGTCTAGGCCTGGGGTTACCTGGAGAGCTTCCTAGTCTTGGCAGCCGACAGGATGAGGACTGGAGGCGGGGGAGGATGTGGGGGGAGGCGGGGCGGGAGTATCAGGCCCAGGAGCAGCAAATGCTCGGAGGGAAGATCGCGCTGGGAGTCCTCAGAGACTCAGAGAACCCGTCTGGGTGATGCCCCCAGGGAACAGGGCTGGGAGGCAGGCAGGAGGGGCAGGCCGAGGGCTGGGCTGTTTCTGAGGGTGGCGACCCCTGGAAGATGTGAGAGGTGACCCGACGCCCAGCTTCACAGGCCCAGGCCCCCTGTTGC